CTAAAATCAGTTCTAAAAATCCTTAAAGACATCATTTAAACATGCAGTTAAATGGGTTCACATTCCCTCAAGGTAAGCAATGGGAGGCGTATATTTTGGTTTTGCACCAAGCGTTGCTCACTGTTTTTACCTTTCATTATGACGTATCAGATCAAAATTTTCATGAAACAATTCAAATCTGTTCGATTTCAAATTCGCGTATACATCCCCCTACACTAGGATTCCGACAACAAAGCGCTGCAAATCCTCAGCTCCAGAAACCGCTTGTGTATTGCATGCTAACGTTGCGTCCACAAATCACAGCGATCTCAATGTTGTCCGTGGCACAGCAAAGACAGTAAGAAAGGAAGTCGACATGGGTCACCTTTATATCATCACCGCAAAGTCTAGTTCGCTCCAGCCTTAACCGAAATAAAAAAAAACGGCAACTGCTCAACACATTTTGGCCTCCTCTCATTACCCTCACAACAGTCAGCAACAACGTGGATCATCCAAAACTCATCGGCTCCGTCTGCTGTAACGCCCTTGATACATCCCATTGTCAGCCGACTACCAAGCAGAGTGACTTGCAAATGAAAGCGGGACGCTTTGTTACTTATCCACGTTGACTGTTAAACCCTCATGAAAGACATCGATTACAACAAATAAGTAAGAACCATTTGTATGGATGCTGGAACGCACCAAGCTTCATCTGACACAATTTGGCGTCATGTGCACACGTGCATGGTGACATTGACACTTGTAATCGCTTCACTTGACCCACGCCGCACGTACGTGTCACTCGCATAATTCTAGCATCAAGACCCCGTGCTGTCTGTGACGCTCTCAGCGCGGTTATACCTTCACAACCACTAATGGTACCTCTCAGATGCATTCAGCAAGAGGTCACCCATTTTTGCGAAGTTGAACGGTGCGATCTCTATGACGATCTGTGCGAGCTGATCTAATATCATTTGGAGTACTGTAAAAGTGTTAAAATACCAGTTGTACAAATACTAGCTGCTCAATCAGATGCTGTGCTTCTGCAAAGATGCAATGTTATTACAATTTATTCACCCCACCCACCCCGGCACCTATTAGCCTCGGGCACACAGAGCACTCGGAATGTCAAAAAGCTGAAGAACACAGGTCGTAAACAGATCCAGATCTTGGCGAGCAGGTGCCACACTAAAATGATATATTTTGACGGGGCAGAGAATGAATAAACCTGCTGACCAACTTGTGGGCCCACGTGCGCGCACCGTCACGCGTTTTTACGCCCAAAGTGCTAATCTGACGTTTTCGGGTGTTTTATGGAATGATGTCAGATCGTGACAGCCACAGTACGTCCAGACGCGGCGCCGGCAGTACGGTTCAAACGAATGGACTGTTTGCTCATGATTAGTCTCTTTTGCATACGGGAAATTACGTTCGAACTTAAATTTTGGGGTCAATTTGACGTCTAAGGTTTCGAAATTTACACGGGATGCAATTATCGTTTTATGACACATGCTGGCCGCCGGGGCATCAATTCTCTTTTCGCATGCACGTTTTATAAATTCGGTTGACGGTGCACTTAGCAGGTGAAATATCAAGGTACAATACATTTTGTAATGCCCCGTTTAATGGATCTAAACCGCACGTTTCGCGAAATGAATGGATGCCAGCCCGACATCGAGAAGTGCACGCTGTGCTTAATCCGTTCTTCTGATGCAGCTAGTCCTAGCTGATGCACAGGAGAACGCAGCTAGGGGATAAGCTTCACCTCTGACTGGGACTTTTGATCTACTGTGCTCACTAAGCGTAGAACGGCAGTGGCCTAGGACAACTTTTGGGGGTGGACGTGAAGACGTTACCCGCAGGCTAGAAACGAAAACTAATCGCAGACATAATTAAAAGCAACATATAACGCAGCTCGTGAGTATATCACAAAAACGGAGGTTGAGGCCAACCTACGACAGCGTCCTATGATGATAGTGGTTATCATTTGGGGGCCTAGTAATGACAACGATGCGTAGCTTAACCGTACAAAAGCACAACTACATCAGAAACGAAAAGTTGTGAATGTCATATTATAACATTATTTCGGGGTCAATATCCTAGCTGAAGCCGTTCTGTACCTGTACATATTGAAAGAACGTTAAAGGGGGCAGGTACCTGTCGACCTACGCAGTGCAAGGTCATCGAATCAATAAAATAATCTTTTAATAAAATCACGGATGCACGAATCACGATCACGAGAGCAAAATGTGTGACATCCGGGAATGCTCTGCAGCACTGTGAACCCAAGCAGGCCAGCCAATATGGCCTGCTGGAGTAGACCACATCAAGAGAAAGCACACTTACCTGGTCATAGGGATGCTTCAGGAGAATTTCGGAGCACTTGTCTGCGCAGCGTTCGAACTCCCTTCGCCGGAAGCAGCTGATGGCTTCAAACAATGGGTCCATGTCGCACTACGATCAGACGCGCCCTGAACGCTGGGTTCGGTGGTCAGCTGTAAAGATTTCGGTCTATATGACAGTGGTTCAAAACGGGATCATCATCGTGCAGGGATCTATTACACTCGTTTTATCATTTGTTGTTGACCGTGTGGGTCGATGGGAACCGAATGTTGCACCACGCCTGCTTGACACTGTCGTCGCACATGACGTTTGGTGTACCTAGTTTACAAAGGAATTCGTTGTAAAGTATAATTTTGTTCGGCCGTAAGCTTTGCTGCTAACTGAACATTCACCATGAAAGGTGACACTCCTTATACGACTCCAGTGGTATTTATTTTCAGCTTGCCTGTCCATCTATCATTTACCAGCAGAAAGGCGGAAGTTTCACGGAAAGGTCTTCACGGTGGCTCTCTCAGTTCAAAATTCCACCAAACCTGGACCAGTCCAGACCAGGACATTTAATCACTTCCTGCCAGGGCACATTCTGTCCGCCCCCATTCCTTTGGGCTCGTCGCTCCTATAGCGTTCGCAGCGGTGCCACGGAATTTTGAGGTTTTTACGAAATTATTTTTCACTTTTTAACATTTTTAATTAATTTTTACGAAATTAGTGCACACGTATTGAGTTAAAACATTGCAAACAATTCGGAACGCCTCCCCTCCCATGCACTGGAAGCTCGTCATGAAGCGGGAAGGCCAAATCATGTCTGGTAGTGCCCGGTACCCGCCCTCCAATACACTAACCCTGTTAATAAAGGTCAGTTACCGCCAGAAGCAAATTCCAATATGCAGACCAATTAACCATATTTAAATTGCTACGACTTCAGCTTTATGAGAGCTTCGATGTATTTCAGTCAGCCACGTCAAAGAGGCTCTTTTTTACTCCTTTGGTTTCATACAGGCAACCAGTTAATTGTCTACAGCCACAAGAAAAGGATAATCATCAAAGTTACGCCTCCGGGTGTTCGGGCAATGCCGACAGCAATCAGTGCTGGATCGGCCTTCTGTTTGGGTTCACGCTCTTCCTGAACACAAGGGAGTATTGTTTGTGCGTCTGTCTTTAGTGTGATCCAAAACTTCCACATCAAATCGTGTGCCCTCGTGTTCCGTCCACTATGCTCCGAGCAATCACGCAAAGGGATGCAAAGACACTCCAAGCCTAGAAATGCGAAGTCCATTGATATATTTATTTTCTAATCGTCGATGATAATGACTAACGACTTAATTGTAGTTCACATTGCAAGCTGGCTGTCGTTATTTCTGAGATTTTCGTCCTGACCAGTGAGGGCGATCCCTCTCCCGTTTGAGAAAAGGAGGGGAGGGGGGGGGGGTACGCCCCTCCCCTTCGGCGATATCCATAGCGTTATGTATGGAACGTAGATGTAGTCGCCCCCCAGAAAGCTGAGGAAACAATGCCAATCTCGAAGTACATGCTCTCCATGTATCGTCATTGGGTTAATATTTAGCATTGCGAAGAGATGGGGGACATTGCACTGAGCCCTTTCTCTTTGTTGCCACTCCCATGGTATAGAGACTTGCGAGTGATGTACACAGTAAGGCGGTAGAAGAACCCTTTGTGTACAAGTCGGTCTAATTGAAAAACAGCAATAAAACAATATCACAGACAGAAGAGTGGAAAAAACGGGGAGAACAGGACTTAACAAGATGCTTCATGGTTAAGACTCTGCACGCCGAAAAAGCGAAACGAAGATGAGTTTACGAAGAAACAATGCAAAGGAATGTAATGCGTGCAGTCGCGTATACCTTAAAACTGCTGCACATGTATTATTCACGCACTACGCAAAGTGCAATACGAAAAAATATGTGCAAAATCTAACTTCGGTACGAAAAAACGTGACACGAAGCAAAGCATATGACAAGAAGCGTGATTCGAAAGGTTACGCAGGCTTACGAACACAACATTTCGTGTCTGATAATTTGCGATGCGAGCTTAGGCACGCCGAACGACGACGTGACAAACGACGCATGAGCTTTGCGTGCGAAGGAATGCGTTGCGAGTGAATGACAAAAAAATGCGATACACGGTTTTGTCTGGTCACGGGGAAGGCGGCGTGCAACCTATCGGAATCAACACCGTATGTGACAGCAGATACAAACGTCTCGCTATTGATGCCTGGCTCACCGGTCACAGATTTGTTCCCCGGCACTCGCCCGCACGCCCAACTCCATCCACTTTTCTACCAAGTAAATAATGAACAATTCGCACCAAAACACCCAGAAATGTATCGCTATGGTAAGGTCTGTTGTGATGTTCCGATCAGTTACCATAGTTACCATCCAGAAGTTTTGTTGTGCATTTCTTTGGAATGCACAACTTAGCATGAAAGTGGCATGATTAGCATGTTGGCTAAAAAATAAATAAATTCTAGAATTCAATCTCAGACCTGAATTATAGGCTACTCTGTCCGATGTTGACTTAAATAACAGAAAAGTTAGCCGTTTTGAATACTAAGTTCAACGTTACCCACCATGTTTGCCTCAAAGTCCAGCACAGCGCAACAATAGCTAGCAAAACACGAGTTACCATATGATTTAATTGTGGCGTATAACAGCAAAGGCGCGAGTGGGAAAGCATCTGTATTGCGTCTGGACTAATCTGATATCATCTGGGTAGAAGCTACATTTCAAGAATGGCCACAGATCCGGAAGATGTGGATTTGGAGATGGTGCGTTGTACCCGTGTATCTACGATCTTAAATATTCGATCCAATCTTAAAGGAGTGTGTACCTCAACTATCGATTAATCAAGCAAAGGCTTCGTGCTTAATTCTTATTTCAGTGATAGCTGTGTTATTGTAATTGTTGTTGGCATAGAGAATGGTGAAATTGCTGCCTAAGCCAGATTTTTCTAAATGAGCTTATCCTTGAGATTCATTGTTAAATTTTATGTAGGTTTCTCATGCATGGAAAATTTGTTCAGCTTGTATGTGCTACACATAATTTCAAATTTTTTGAAGTATTTAACAAATACTTTCATGCATATATCACAGTGCAGTTGGTGACAATGTAGTTGGTTAAATGGTGACAAAAGGTGTTCAAGTGTCCTCAAACATGCTCAAAGCATATTTGAGGTGAAAGCTGGCCTGTTCTTTAGACTAAAAACATGTTTAATATGTCTAAACAAGTATGGCATAGCAGCAGCATTCTGTCAATGAGGTTAGTGCATACTGTGAACTTGGGTCTTGAGTTGGGCACATGGTTGTGAATAATTACAGAGCATAGTAAGCCAATGTTTCAATGAATGATATCATAAAGTAATTACATCTCAAAATACCATCTTCTAAAATTTTCAGTAGCAATTGTTTCAAAATTCAGCATCAATTAGCTTTGCCTTAGATTGTTGCATGCATGCTCCAGGTTCAGCTCATCAATATGATAGTATTCAGAGAGCAGGATAGATTTTTTGCAGGCTGGCTTAGGTCTAGCAATGAAAAAGGCCATTCACATTGAATAATACTTGTTTGTTTGCATTTCATAATTGCCAGTCTTTATTACTATTTTTGTCAATTCTGAGCCAGACTGTAATCAAAACCTTACATTGAGCATGTCTGGAGTAGAGTAGCAGTTCTGGTATTAATTTCATCACACCCACAGCATGAATTCCAGAGCTGCAAGTTCATTGCATGACACTGCCAATTCACAACCAAACTGAGCCAATTTTTTAAAGAATTGTCATATTTGTCAGGTAATTTTAGCAAAGAATATCCCCACACCCTATAAAATCAGGCAATAATTTAGAAATTCAGGGCAATTTGACCTGACCTATGTTTGGTTCATGCATGCTTCAGGCTAAGCACACTGATCCCAAGAAAGGTTTAGCATAGTGGATGTTTTTCCAGACTGGATTCTTCACATATAATTCAGATGAAACATCTCTGCAACTCAGCTGATGTTAAAGGGCCAGATACTTTGCCCCTCCATTGGGGTTATGGGCTCATATGCTAGAATCACCCAAGAGTATGAGCCTGGGCAGCATATAAAAGGGGCATACTAAATTTGAATCATTTTTTAAAAAAGTGTGAGTGGAACATATATTTTCTGATCAGGTTGTGACTATTTTGATAATTGTCTCTGAGATAAGCAATGGCTAGTGAGGTTGCTGATTCCTGTCATCCATTCAAATAAGTTAGGAAGGAAGAATAGTTCAGTGAATGGACTGGTAGGTATGTACAAAGTCACACTGAGTAGTTTGGCATCCACCAATAAGTTTGTTTAAATTATAAAATCATCATCTCTATTTGCTTTCCTAAGAGCTGTGGGTTTTTTATCCATATTCAAGCCTGGTTAGATAAGTAGCACTTTGTTTTGGCTGTCAGTTGACAGTAGATGTTGGTGCACCAGAGAATGTTGATTATTGTCATAACCAAGTCTGTCAATCTTTATGATTGCACTTTAGTTTTTCCACTTCACTTGAATACTGTAATTGAGGCCTATCAGCACTGTTGAAAAATATTAACTTGTGCTGTTTTGTTGACTTCTGGGTGGACCTCTGTAGCATGTTGTGGAGCCTCTGAAAATATTAGGTAAGTAAGGGACATGATTTGGACTTATTTCTTTCCATCAAATGCTACAGGGTAAACATGAAATGCTGCTTGGAGTTCAGGGAGGGATAATGGCACATTACCCCATCCTAATCTGCGGCTTTTTCAAGGGGATTGGTTTCTCAGTTTCAATTTAAGTACTGCATGGTGATAAATTCAAATATTATGCAAAGTTATCATTATGTGATGCTGATTCTATGATGGGTGATAACATAACACTAAGTAACTATGAGCACTCCACCAGGATGCACACATGATGAAAATGGAGTTTAAGTTGTAAGTGAGTGGGCAATGCAATAGCAGTTTAACACAGTGAAGTTTAAACAAATATATTGCAATGGGAAGTGAATCTAAGCAAAACTAAGTTAAATAATGTTAAAAAATGAATAAACATAATTTGTCATCAGAAAGGACAGCTTGTGATGTAATGTCTTGATGTATAATGATGTGGCAAAAGCACAGCTTAAACGAACATTTCCACAATATTACCATTTATTGTGTACTATGAAGGTAGTGCAAGGAAAATAAAATCAACTAGAAAATCATTAAATGATATGTGTGGTCAATGTAACATGAAGTAACTGGGATTGCATTATTACATAATTGTTCTATATTTGGCATCAACAGTGAGTTTTACCATGCGGAAGCTATCACCATTATGGCGTTCATTGTCCATTTACTGGGGACATTGGAAGTTACCTTTGTCTTTGGGGGATTATAGATGCATCATTTTGAAGATCGGCAATAACTGTTGTCATTGTGTGCTGTAAAATGGTCTGATAATGGTCACATAAATACCAATTAACTCCATGCTCTTCCAGTCAATTGGGCCTCAGGGAGCTGGTGATGCAAGTAATCAGCAGGAGGAGCCTTCAAGCCCATCAGCTGTGCCTACTGTGTCTGAAAAGGTAAACATATTTACTGGTGTCTTGTTCACCTCACATGTCATATTTCACATGATTGCCAATAACATTGAACCTTAACTATAGTTTTGTCTCATACAAGGTATGCATTAACAGGCATTTGGGGGAGGTCTGAGTGTCAGAACATCCATGCAACAGTAGGCTGCTGGCCCTCAGTCCTAATGCTCTTTCCAAAAAGCTTAGTCTTGCCAGCCTTGTGCTATTGATTAGCAATATTTCACCACTGTCGTTTTTATACGTAACCTGAACTGTCTATGCCAGAACTAGCAACAATACAATCTACCCTTTCAATGTTTATTACAGCTTTTCATGGTGCTCTTGTTCCATGAAATATGAAAACTTATAGGCATGGTGGCTGAGCATTTGCGAGCATGAATAGAAATGCTGGCACGTCTTTGACCGGCCTTCCGCCCCAGACTGCAGCACGCGATCAGCCAGTCCCCTGGCTCCCGTTCTCAGGTGCCCACCGACCGCGTGGACGGCAAGAAGGCGCGCGTGCCGCGGCGCGTACTTCACTTCAGCGACGGCACGATGGAGGAGTACAGCACCGACGAGGAGGACGAGCCGGACAAGCCACCGGACACGCTGACGCAGCTGCGTGCGGCGGACACGGTACGACCGCCGCCGCGCACCGGTGGACGGCTCAAGGCTGTGCTGCGGCGGCGACGGAGCGCCGGCGCGCCTGCATGCTGGGTGTTTGTGATGCGTGAACGGCTAGCGGGCTGCACAGTCAGGCGACGGCTGATGTCTGGCGGTGGTTGGGGCAGAACCTTGCGTCGTTTTGGTAGGTGAAGTTTGTCGGCAGTTTCAAAGCTTATTCACATTTGGCGCATCAGAATGGTTTATCTGCGCCGCTCATATAAGCGTTTTGACGCCAGCTCAGGCGGCGGAGATGACAGCTTTGCGATGTTGTTCTCTGCAGGGGCAAGTAATCTCGAAGGACGTGCAGGGGTGTGGGGTGCTACGTTCTGACAAAACATGCTAGTTCACACTGATTTTTTAGCATAATCTGCAGGCTTTAAGGCCTAACCTCGCACATGCGCCATGAGCGTGTTATCAGTTTCCTCGTGGTGCGTGATGTTCTTCAGCCTTGCTAATTGAACGTTTTGACCGTTAATGTACGTAATCCAACTGCACTGCAAAGTATCGCATTACGCAGCTAAGGCTCATGTCGTATCCGGCAGAAGTTCCTTTCCACTCGATCTCGTGCATTCACGCGAAAGCCCCTCCCTTCTGCCGGTGACGCCCACACCCCGCGCCCCGCCCGTCCGCCAGAAGTCGATGGGCTGGATGCCGTGGGCCTGGTACTGGTTCCGGTTCGCCGGCTACAGCACACTGAGCGGCGTGGACAGCGTGGGCGAGCGGTTGGCGTACATGCTCGGCATCACGTCGCCCAAGTACCAGTACGAGCTGGACGAGTACTACGAGATGAAGAGGAAGGTCAGCGACGCCCTAGCCAGCCGTTGGCGTGGCTCTTTGGCTATCTGGGGTCGTATAGGATGAAGTCATGTCGCGTTCTTTGGTTTGCGTTAAAAGGAGTGCTCCTACACAAAGCTAGCAGGCCAGTCTTGCCAGTTGTGTTATAATGCATTGTTTTTTTTCTGCTGACGGTGCCCTTAATTGTGTCATCTTCCCGGTTCCGTCACGTTTTCGCAGCAGCAAGGGGGGGGGGGCCGCTCGCCGATCCGATACCCATTTAGATACAGTAGTAAATCGAGAAGCGGGCGGTGTCCTTATACGTGATCCACAAGTTGGCCATTGGACATTTTCCCTGCGGCCGGTCAGGACGCCGGTTCAAGCGATGCCAAAGTGTGTACTTGTCACGTCTAAGTAGCCTTGCGCATGCGCACGGAACAAAGCTGATGCAGCTTAAAGAAAGCCATCCCTTGCTTCAAATGGGTAATGCGAGGTTATTTTGGGTCGTTTCTTGGCCTCTTATCACCTTGATATCGTATGGTCTTGCAATTGCAATGCTCATGTATAATGGTATTAACACATTTCGAAATACCTACGAGCACTAATTTTGATGGTTCTGAGGGCTTAAACTGACGTGCCCTTCCTGTTCAATGATCTTTTAAAGAAAAAAGTGAGCAGCCGCAGCGGCCCAGTACCTCAGGCATTTTCCTTCATGACAAAAAATGCAACCAAATTTCAAAGGTGTACTCTGATGCGAACTTAGCTTAAAAGAAACTGAATACGAAACCAAAGTTCCTAAAATAAAACGGAGAGCTTGACGTTTTTGCTCAGTTCTGGCAAGCGTTAAGAAACTGGCAGTTCCAGATCTGATGACGTCACGACCCAGTAAGTGTTTGCATGTTATTTAGGTCGATGCGATGGTGCGCCAATGGTGTAACGGTTAGCGGTGATAACGCTGCGCGTCTGGGAAACTAGAGATACAGAGTTCGATTCTCTGCGGTCTCGATTTCTGCAAGGACGAGAGACAGATGACGTCACATAGCCTCAGCCGGAGTGCGGCGTAAAGCCCCAATGACTGAATATATGTCTTGGATTGACTTGTTTTGTTTTGTCATCAGTGATGTTGCGTGTGACAGCCGTGCAGCGACGGATCATTGTCACAGGTCTCTAACGACGTGATCATTCCGCCGCCAGGAGGAAGAGGAGCAGCACCAGCGCGACCTCGAGTCCGCCGGCTGGACACCCGGCTCGGCGCGGACCAACTCGGTGTCCAATCAGGCGGCGTACGTGGTCCCCGCCGGCCAGTCAGAGCCGCCCACATCGCCGCCGGGCCAATCGGGCGCCGCCGCGGCGCTGGCATCCGACCAGCCGCCGGCGGACGCGGGCGTGGTTTCGGGACAGCCTGTGGCTTCCGAGACGCGGCCCTGAGCCGCCGTCGCTGCTGACACCGAGTTGCTGCCTTGTGAAGAGCACCTGTTGCGGGGTGACGCGCTTCTAGTCACCGATTTGCTTTCTGACAAGTCGCTGGCCTCGCGCGTGATGAGAGGTTTTCACGTCGACTGCCTTATGCCGTTGCAGTCACTGTGTGCGTTTGCAGTTTCTGATTCTCGTCATACGCACATGGCAGGGCGACAAAGGGCCCTACTGTGGCGGAGTCCCTCGGCTTGGTAGAAGGTACTGCGATTAGTGAAACTAGGGTAAACCAAAGGCTGGCGAGGTTCGAACTGGGAGGAGAACTGGATGCCGTTGCTGGACTATGGCGACATCAATGTATCAAGGCTAGTCCCCAAGTTGTTTGTGGCGGGCTATGATTACGCTGTTTGCCGCTCTTGTGGTGTAAACAGGCACTGAACAGCTTCGTGTCTGTTGCATGCTCTGCACAGAGTAGAATACAAGCTTGGGGTTTGGCCTGGCGGACTAGGAATAAGAGAAAATGGGTGTCATTTAGAAATTTAACGTGAAATTATGTCGAAAAGTACGCATGTGAAGTACCTGGAAACCGTATGACTGCACGGCTTACATTTGGAGTTAAGGATTGTCTGAAAGTAGTCTCATTAGCGAGGAACCAACGTACTTAAGCCCAAAGTCTCTTAAGAGAGGAATGAAATAGTTCTTTAGCATATCCCCCCCCCCCCCCGTCATGATTATGAAGTTAGATACCGTGTCGTGGTTCGCATGGCGAAGGTGGTTCGAGCCTGGTCCCATTATCAGATAGTGGCACGACTTTATTGAAATCCAGTACTATTGTATCTAACTACCATTAGCGTCTTAGCGCGGCTATGCATTTTCTGCGGGCGCTATGCGTGTTGCTTCTGGAGTTCCAAGCTTGAATCCAAATAGCGTTACATTATATTCGTTTCACGATCTGATTATGTTATGCTATGTATATTTATGCGGCGATGGATAGTGTGATCAAGATTCCAATGGCACGTGGTGGCTGCATGCAATATGCTAATAAAGCGTGACTGGCTTGTCCATTGTCCGTTGTTGACTGAAACTGGCTGAAACGCTTCTGGCAATGCTGTCGAGCAGTTACAACGCATAGTTTGATAAACGGGGGCGTACCCAGCACGACGAAAAACCGCCTGGAGGGCAATGGAGTCGCAGAACAAACCAGGTTCTCATAACGTGGCTTTATTCCAGCCATTCTTTCAGGTACATGCAGAGTTGTGGTGTCACTGACCCGACGTCTGAACACTGGTCGATGACCTGGAAAGATAAACACTGGGTAACCGCGCCGTCTGCAACCAAAGCAAAACATCTGAGAGAAAGCTCCGTAGGTTGATTAACCAAGACTGAGATGATAGTAACACTACGAACGTGGCATGTCGTGGGCATCACCCATACACAAAAACGCTTCATATCCTTGATAATGATTTGGGCTTTGGTGCGCACCGACTGCAATGGTTATACGACGCCCATGCTTGATATCCTTCGTGTTGCGGGTACACCGCTGGGAGCAAGGATAGAGAGCGCGCCGGGATGGTCCGCCGCCACACAAATACACTTCATTCACGAGGCCTCCCACTGCAGCGGCGCCTCTCACCGGACATATACCGCAGGGGGTTTTGATGAGGCCGACAGGTGGCAGCAGCGTCTGCGTGGCGCGGTACAGCTTGAGCTGGTCCTCCGAGCCGCTGCCTGCCTGCAGCCGCCGCTCCACCTTCCCATCGTAGATGAGCGTGTCGAGGATCTTCTCGATGTCTGGCACGGATAAGCTCACCTGCGCGGCGCAGGAGTGGCTGGGGTCAGGGGTATTGCCGCAGTGGGGGGGGGGGGGGAAGGCAGAGGGAAGGGCTGACCCTCCCCTCTCTGTCGGCAGGCAAGGGGGCAAGAGTATGTTTTGCCCCCCTCCCCCGACCAAAAATGGAGAGGCCCCTTTTTCGTAGCTAGAGGCATTGCAGATGCATGAACCGTATCAAATTCAGACCAGAGGCCTTTCATAACTGAGCTAGAGTAATAAATCGGGCCCATAAGACCTTTTGCTACATCAAAAACCTCATTCCCTGGGTACTGAAAGCGGTCTTCAAGGTCACCTTTATCAATAAGAAAGCCAATGCTCTAGATCACGAGGTCCGATGTTGCCTTGCAGAGGTCACTTTCCTGGCTCGGGAGGCGCCCGTTACAAACTTTAAGGCACTTCAGGTTTAGGACGCAACTTCTTCATTCAGGGGGCCCAATGTCTGAAACGGGAGGCCCCTTTCATGTGCCAGATGGCCGCGGTTCCGGATAAGGATTGGGGTAGCGAGGCCCCTTGGCTCGGTTTGAAGACCCTTTAGTGAAACGTAAGCAGCCTAGTCTAGATTAGGAGGCCCCTTTCTTGAACAGGAGGCTCTGTTTTAGGTTAAAGATGCTCTTCGCTAGATATTCGGAAGGCCCCCATTCACAACTTTTACTTGGCGGTATTTATTTACCGGGACATGTTATATGCTACGGTTTGATAAGGGGTAAATGTTTTCGGTGCCCTCCTCCCTGAATACGACATCGCATAGGAGGCCCTGTGAGGAGGCCCCATTTTGTCCAGGAGGCCCTCTGGAAAATTCTGCCCTCCCCTACTCAAAATCCGTAGCACCGCCCCTGGCTGGGGTTCATCGGGAGGGGGGGGGGGGGGCACAGCGGTTCCGTTATACGACCACGAGGGGTGTTCAGTGTCCTTTGCTTGAGGCCTCCATGTGTAATGCATGAGCAGGGCACAACAGAATTCGGACACTCGACAAGCGGGCTTCGCTGGAAATAGATGGCATCATTCCCACAAGAGTATAAACAGGCACTTTGCAGCATGCAGCGAGGTATGCTGTTCGTCTACGATGGCAGTTCATGGTAGTTCGTAAGTTCGCTGCCGTTGGTTTCATGATAAATATTTTTAGAGTACCAACCGAAGGCTTATTCGTTATATGATTGCAAATGTAGAAAGCAAACCAGCTATTTGTTATAATAGTTAAAATAGCCAACAAGCGTCAAACAAGAAGCGTCTTGTTCGGCCGGAAATTAGGTATCGTGAAAACCAATGGAGCCTATATGTCGACCGCTTTCGAGCAAAAAACGCAAATGTTTGGGTAATTATTGGTCCATTGTTGTCCGACTCGGTGCATTTACTTGGAGGCCCCAGTGAAAGAGCCATGACGTGTCTGGACCTCATATCCACCTCATATCCACTACATAACATATTTTCGCCGGGGGTGAAAGCGGACAATTTGCTTATCAAGTAATAGCATCAGGTGCACGGCTAACAATGCTTAGACACCACATCGACGAAACAAGGCCGGTCCTATTCCAGTTGCAGACAATTCGAAGCAGCAGCGATGGCTTCGCTTTCGGCGTCGACACGGCCATTACCAATCTAGAGAAAGAAAGACCGAAGAACCACTCTGTTGGAGGGCAGGATCCCTGGCTGTTTCGTTTTCGACACGTCGGTTTTAAATGTTGCTTAATCTTGCATGCAAAATGGACCGGCTGCATCAATCAAGGCATCGCATTGCATGAAACATCAATTGTTGCCGACGGAGCATCTACTATAAACAATAATCATGTTCACCAAAGTTGGTGGATTTCCCCAATGATGAACACCTCCGCTGATTACCCGGCACAGGCCGCCGCTGTTTTAGCAGCCAAAATGGGGTACCGCTTATAGCCTTGCCCATTTGATAAGACCATGAAAATCATCTAATTCCCTTCAACCATCATTGGAAGCAACGGCCTAGAAGCAAACACCTATGACGTTCGACACGCTAGCTGCACGTTAAAAATAATGCTCATCACAAAGTGCGGCACGTACGGCCGATAGCAAACAACGATGTCAGAGTATGCACAATACATGCCTATTCATACGTTCGACATATCCACTGTATGTGAGATCTTCGGATCAGAAGAGGCGAGTTCGTGCAAACCGCATGGACCGTAAAAAATCAGCCCCAACAACACAGCTTTCACGAGGGCGTTGTGAGACTGGTTGTGAGGAACTAGGGCAGGCGGGAAGCAAGGCCGCTGTGCGCAGTTCCCCACGAGATTAACTTAGCTATAGCGTTGTCTTCGTGACGGAAAGGCGCAGCATGTGAACACACCTTAATCCTTCATTATTCCGCTAATCTGCATCAGATCTGCGCGTTCAGCAAGTTTTCTGTGTCGAAAGCAGATGTGGTGTCCTCAGATGTCGTACTTTCTCTTATTTTCACTGTACTTCGCAAACTTAGTGGCAGGTAATATGAAAGAAGCTGGCATTCATGAAAATGAAGATAAAACTCACGTAATTCAATTCCATTCAAACCCGGATGCATACCTGGGATGGCGGGTAAGTTGGCAAAGACAAGTGACGCATCACTTATGACTAAAAGGAAACACGTCTCCATCCCAGGACGGCGCTGCCTGCTCATAATGCAGAACATGGGGCATTTTAGGTGCATCATTTGAATGCGTCGCTACAGCCGTCACATTAGATTTGCATCTTTGCATGGGACGCGTCACCATCACACATAACCTCCCCGGTGACACCTCTCCTACATGCAGCCATAGGGCATATGTCTAACGGCCCCCTTCCCCTTTGATGGTACCGCCGCTGTCGGTAGGCTTTTATGCGTCATATGCACAGTGAATAAAAAGGGTTTGCAAAGACACCGTTCGTGGGATTATTTTGCAGCACAAAACTGTCGAAAGAAAAACACAATTTTAACAGGCTGTTAATGCCCAACATGAAGGCCGCAACGGATCACATAAAGTCAGCATCTTCATCTCTAGCAGGATCTCAATCTGCACTTCGTCATCGATAGGGCATAAACCACGGTGTTGGGAACTGCCAATTACTTTGAATGATAAATGTGTCATCGATGCAACATGTTACAACACTGCTTCTGCCTCCAACCGTGCACACTTCAATAACATGTGTTCACTTCTTCTCGCAAGCAAAAGTTTTCTCCCCCCCCCCCCTTATATCTGGTTCGTCAGCCAGTAGGTAACGTGCGTGGTACCAGACGCTGAAAATCGATGACAATGCCCAGCAGCGCTGCACTGCGTGAATCTTTCCTCGGGTGAAACAGACATTTTTCTTTCATGCACAAACAAAGCGCTTAATAACGAACCCCACGGTTTTGCTACTCCCAGTCATAAAAGTCCTCGCCTAGCAGGAGCGCAACCACTTCGATATCATTGAACGCACATCCAACAGCTTGACACAAGTTCTGCTCCAGTCGGTGTTCAGAATAAAAGCATGGCGCAATGCCACCTGAAGGCAAAGTACCGAATGCCGCCCGTGGTTCAGATGCAATGAACCACCAACAATTCCATCCTGCAAAACAGTGACGCTGCCATACGTGTCCATTGCATTTCTTCTCGGAATTTAGATTAGAGGGAAATGATACGATCAGCGGAACCCTTGCTGATGCTGCAGACATATGACGACGACTCGATCTGGTTCACCCTGAACTGCATGAAGCTGAGCGCCGAGAAATACTGCGGCTTCGGTCTCACCAAACCGGGCCTTTCCGCCGGCAAGACGAAGAACATGTTCAACTCGGACATCTACACGGCCCACGGCGACACAGTCGACGACAGGTGCGGCGAAACTAACGGCCGCAGACGCAGCGGCGGGCTGGACCAATGCGGCAGATCGGTGTGTCGAGGCAGATGTAACGGTGTTTGCATT